GCGAGGGTGTAGCCGCCATGCCACTGGCGGGTGATGATGTAGCCGATGCGATCGACCGAGGTGATCGCGCCGCCCGGGAAGGTCGCCTGGACGCGCTGCAGCAGCGTCGCCGAGGTCGCGCTGAGTTTGCTCAGAATCGCCTTCGCGGTGCGGAATTTTTTGCTCTGCAGGTCGTACAACCGGATGTGTTGCAGGGAAAGGTGAAGAATCCGCTTCCGCTCGTTCATCGCGTTAAAGAGCTCCTGCGTCGTCTCCGCCACGGTCTCCTTCATCGCGTTAAAGCGAAGGAACAACTGCTGGAGGTTGTTGTCGAGGGTTTTGAGTTTGTACCGGATCGCAGGCTCCACGGCGAGGTAGGCCTCCCCGGTTCGCATGCCTTGGTTGCACGACATCAGGGTGGTGCGCACATCCACCGTGAGGCTCCTCGCGCCGCGGATTTGATCGCAGAGGTTTTCGATCGTCTGGCGGAACGCCGTGCGGGCGGAGCTCAGGCACTCCTGTCGCTTCATCTCCATCACGACGTTGGTGAAGTTCTCGTTGCAGTTCACCTCGAGGTCGGTGTTCAGCTGTTGAAAGAGCAGCGCCATCTGATCCTCCAAGGCGCTCGTCTGAAGTTTGAGCGCGTGGTTATGCCCCTCGAGGACCTCCACCGCCTTTCCGTGATTCAACGCGAGCTGGCCGACGTTCTTCAACGTCTGCCGGAGCTGCGCCCGCTCCTCCTCGGACTCCCGCAGCTGCTTCTTCACCTGCAGGAGTTCTTTCTGAAGAAGACGAACCTCGGTGAAGTGGAAGTGCTCGTCGGAATGCTCGTCGGCAAAGATGACGCCGAAGAAGCAGCCGAGCATCCGCGCGAGCTCGCACGTCGTGCGATACAGCTTCGACGAGAGCAGCAGCATATCCGTTACGGGAAGGCTCGTGGGGAAATCCTCCTCGTGCTTGAACATCACATCCTTGAAGCTTACCACGTCGTAGACGTTGCCCGCGAGCTGCCGCATGCACCCTTCGATCACCTGGCGTAGCTCGCAAAGCTGCGAGAACTGCTCGCTCGCCTGCTCCTCATAGGCGTACTTGAGATCCACGCAGCTCGGGATAAAGGTCGCCTCCGTCTGCACTTCGCGATGAGTTACCGTGCGGGTTCGCAAACCAGGCAAGGAAACATAATCCGCAGCCTCCTTCATGAGGAAGACGCGCGGGAAAAAAAGCGGGAACGGGGAAGAATAGTTCTAAGGATGAGGATCCTGTGCAAAAGACTTGGGTATCGGAACACCTTTAACTTTGTGTGTGTGTGTGCGTGTGTTTACATACTAACAAGCCTAGAGAGAAGGAAAGAGGGGGTAAATTGTCGAACAAGAGCATAACCGGATTGCTTTTCTCCCTGGGACTTCCCGACTGATCTAATACCGTCAACAATAAAAGAAAAGAAGGAAATCCCACAATGGAGAGCGGAAGCGCTTGAAAATAGTATGTACTGGAGCAAGTATAAACGACTCTCCGTTTTTTACCCAAAGACAGGCCGTTTGCCCACTAAACGGGGTTGTAAAAAAAACGTAGTTTACATAGGCATGCAAGTGTGAATGATATATTTACAATAATACAGAAGAGGATTATACCCAATAGCAACAATTCAGCACCAGAAGAAGCCGTTTTTTTCACTTCTACCAAAACCCAAATGACGCCGACAACTATATGAAATGAACAAACAAACCGACGCACATAGGAAAGCGGTGGAATTCACAGCACCGAGATAGCATCCAGGTCGTGTTGACGGAATAGTTTTCTGGCGATCCCAGCCTTCAGGAGGTCACGTCCAGATTGGGAATCCAAGAACAGCGCGAAGGTGCTTGTTTCCGCCTGCACGCCATTCAACTTCATATCCGACAGGACCTCAAAGACAAAAGGATCCCTTGCTTCGACAAAAGGCGCTAATACCGTGTTGTACATCTCGGTATCGAGCTGAATGCCGTTGATACGAGCCTCCTCAAACGCAGCGATCATCGCCTTGGTATCTTTTTTCGCCCCGTGCGTTTTAAAGAGGATGCTGTAAATCGACTCGTCCGCCTCCATCGTGTGGTGCGTTTTCAATTCGATAAAAAGCTTCTTCACGCGTTTTTCCTCCCCGCGCTTGTAGCAGTACGCCATCATCGTCGCAAAACACTTGAGGCTGATCTTTGGAATCAGTGGATTCGGCGGCGCCGCGGAGGATTGCGCCTCGCTGCCACGCGGGTTCAGACGATTAAACCATTCCTCAATCCGTTCGTCGTCGTTTTCCGCGTAAATGCGGAGGAGCTCCTCGAAGACGGTGATCCCGAGCTTCACATTCGCTTCCAGGCAGTCCTCGATGAGCTTCGTCGCCATCCTGGTATCCCGCATGAGATTGTGGAGTTCGAGCACCAGACAATAGCTCTCGTCGTCGGGCTGCGCAGAGGCGTAGAGCTCGCACATCTCCTCGCGAAAAAGCCGCAACCCCACCTCGGGTTGATGACGTTTGATGTAACTTTTGAGAATGAGGTTGTAGGTGCGCGTGTTCGCCTTCGCACCGTACGCGTTCACCTTCCCTTTCATGGCCTCCGTCATGGTATAGAATTCATCGTCGTCGACGGCGAGGAGGACCTCGAGGTATTTATTAAAAAAGTTGGTTTCCACCAGGAGGCTGGCCTGAAGGGCCTCCGTGAGGAGTGCATCCGCCCAGGCCTTATTCTTCATCCGCTCGCACACCTCCCAGAGCAGCGTGATCAGCTCCTTATCGATCGTTAACGCATAGGATTGAAGCTGCTGATAAAGCATCGCCGGCTGATCTAAGATGCCGAACTTTAAACACGCCTTCAAAACCGTTTTGTAGGTTACTAAATTCGGCTGCGCGCAGCGGGCGGAGATGCAGCCTTCTTTTTGGAGGCTTTCCTCGCACATCGCCTCGTCGAGCACCTCCGCGGCGGATTTCGTCGGTTTCGCGACCACCCCACGAGGGCTGCCGCCACTTCCGCCTTGTTCTTTCCGAGCTGCCTCGTTTTTTCGCGCCCTCCCATCCGGGTAGGTCGCGCTCACGGTTTGGAAAACCTTAAAAAGCCGCACATCCCCGCATTCCAGCAGAATCGTCAAAATCTTATTGAAGCTGAAGGTGTTCGGCGTCACCAGAATCTCCTCCATCTCGTTTAGCAGCGCGAAGACGAGCTGGGCGAGGTATTTCAACCCGTTGCGGTGCTGCTCAATGGTGCGGCGGATGTGGGCGTAACGGCCCCGCCCTAAAACGTAATCCAGCCGCTGCTGGCAAACCCACAGGAGTAGATTGTAGGTGATGATATCGGGAATAAATCCCTTCTTCTTCATCTCTTCAAAGAGCTGGAAGGCGCCTTCGTAATCGTCATGGAATCGGGCGGCTTTCAGCATCGTGTTGTAGGTTCGTTTGGTGGGTTTGATCCCGTTCTCACACATTTCATGAAAAACTCTCGTGATCTCCGCGTACGGGGCCGACCCCGCGAGGACGCTGATAAAGCAATTGTACGTATTTACATCCGGTGGTACGTTATGCTCCTTCATAACCTCGAAGAAATACGTCGCCTGCGCGACGTCCTGCACCGCCGCGCAAAAACCAAGCAGGGTATTGCAGAGCGGCCGATCCAGTGTGATCCCGAAAAGCTCCATCATCTGCTGGCAGAATAAAAACGCGCGCTGATACTGCGCACTCCGCTCGCACGCGCAGAAGAGAAGACGGAAGGTTTCAATATCCGGCTGCACGCTGCAATTCTCCTTCGTACCCTCCTCTTTCAATTTTTCGTAAAGCTCAAAGACGAGGTTGTCGGTTAGGCTCACGACATGCTTCATGAGGAGGTTGTAGGTTTTGGTATCGAGCGGAACCCCTTCCGTCTGCATTCGCTGGTAAACAAGCTTGACAAAGCGCGTGGGGTTCTTCACCACGACCTTCTCTTCCAATAAAATGTTAAAACTCGTGGTGTAGAGCGGGGTGTTCATGACGTCGTTGTAGTCGTCGTCGATCTCATCCGCAACGGGCGTTTGCGTCGGAGCTTTGACGGTTTTCACGCGACGTACAAAACGGGTTTGCGTACCATCCGGCCGTTGAATGATCAGCTCCGCCGGAGGCCTCTTCGTTAGGTTCATGCGAAATGTAGACTATGAAAAACGAACTATAGGCGGGTATGAACTCGCTCCAACGCCCTTAAGAAGATGAGTTTACGCCGAAGAAGTGGTATTGGTAAGAAAAACAACGCTACAAAACTAGACGTGTGGCTTCACTCTCAACCAACAACAAAAGGAAAACCCTGAATAATACTAATTTTCATCATCATCATGAAACAGAAGCCATTGCAGAGGAATAAACACTACCTTGGAGTGGAGTGTCGACGATTTCTCCATTTTTTAATATATTTGGGAAATAAGGCAAAATTTCCGTGAATTTTTTACTACATGATAAATACCCAATAGCGACAACAACTACCTCCCAAAAAGGTAAAACAAGGGAGAACAACAAGCATTAAAGCGCTGATGCCGCGCAAATCCGTATTTAGCCTTCCACAGGCTTCTGTGTGTTTAATGCCTTCTAACCTTTTTTTTCTTAAATTTCCCCAATTGTCTCGTTTAGACAATTTTCTGTAACTCCGCCGCGAATTGGATGTGCTCATTGATCATTTGTTCGAAAGGGATCTCCTTCTTCGCCACGTCCTCCTCCCGAATGAAGAGGAAGCCTTTCCGATCAGGTGTGAGGTTCCAGCCGTGATCGCTGCCGATCTGTAGAACTTCTTCGGTCGATTTCACCATCAGCACCTTCTGTGCGGCGGCAATGGAGAGCTCCGTGTAGGCGTGCGGGATGCAATTCGCGACCTCATTCCGCACGGTAGATTCGAGCATCTCCACAACCGGGATGTACTCGTTCGATGGGGCCTTCTTGCGCGAGGTGAGCAGCTTATTATAACTCCCCTCCATCAAGTAGCGCTCGAGCTGAACGGCAAAGCGGATGTACGGGCTGCTCGCGAGCGCCTCCGCGGGAACTTTCTCGAGCTCCGAGTGAAATTGCGCGATGCGGCTCATCACGAGGAGCCGCACGAGGTTAAGGCCGAGCATCATCGTGTGCATCGGCGACGCCGGCAGCTCCTCGAACGAGATATCGGTGTAGTAAAGCTGAAGCTGCGCGAAAAAAAGATCGAAGCTCACCAAATCCTTCCGCCGCGCGCTCACGAGCACGGCGAGCTCGAGAACCTCCCGCGCGAGCATTAGCTCCTCCGCGCGGCTCTTACTCTCCGCGGAGGGGTTCAGAAAGGTGGGGAAGACGATGATCCGAGTCTTGATGGAGTCCAAAATTTTCATACATTCGTCATCATCCTTCTCATCATACGCTTGCTTGAGTTTGCGTAAGCTCTCCGCAACTTTGCACACTGCAAAGGAAATATCGCCGATCGAGGAGGACATTAGGTAGATTTCGCGATGGCAATAGAATTATGCGCGAGGGAAAGGCGAGGTGCCTAAAATTGGTGAGCAAGAAAAAAACGAATACTTGCAGAAAAAGAAAAGCTTGAAAAGTGCTAACGGCAGCACTCGTGATAAGAGCTTGAAAATGTCCTCTTCCTACACAAAAAAAAATCACTTTTAGAGATTTAATGTTTATATTTTAACGGTTGGTAGGTGTCATGCTACATTTAATGTAAGGGATCAGCAGACCCTATCACACAGCAGGACTCCATTTTGTTCTGAGAAATAAAAACGCATACCCATGAAACACACCTTTATCGTAATTAGTGAGATAAGTACGTATTGGGGCATGCAATAGCAGTAAATAATCAGTACAAATATCAAACACACACATATATATATATATATATATATGGAAATAGAGAGTCAAAGTATTACAACACTCAGCTTTCGCACAAACAAGCATTCCCAGCGAGGGAGAAGTAAACCGAAAGTTTATTCCCCTTTTCAGAGAAAGAGAGAGCGCGTTCATTGGTGAAAGTAGTGCAGGATAGCACTTGATAGCAGAATAACAATAACAAGAAACGTCGTAATCGAAAAGAAGTATACCACTCACGAAAAAGTTAGCTAAAGTAAAGCGTCGGACCTCCCGCGAGCATCACCGGTTTGGAGGGACGATGGGGTGGGGTGGCGATCCGACGAAACGCCGCCACCCTCGCCGGGCGAGGCAGCGGCCGCGGCGGGAGGGGCGTCGTTTCCAGTGCGTTAAACGTGGTTTCCAGCGCGGAAGGGGTGGTTTCCAACTCCGCGAGAGATCGCCCTCCTTTCCTTGTGCGCTCTCGACGCGATCGGGCGAGATAAATTGGTGAAGAGCGACGCCCCGGCCGCCCTTCACTCGAATCTCGCGCCGCCTCCGCCTCCCCGCTCATCGCAGGCGAGGAGGAGGCGGAGTTGGATAGAGGAGGGGTCGGCGTCGATGCCTCGCATTCTCGCATTCTGTTGAAGATCTTTTGATCGTCCATTTCTTCCTCTTTCGGTGTCTCCTCGACGGGAAAAATCGAAACGAGAGGACTTTGGCTAGTGAAACGAACGCGTTTCGCGGCGGCAGGGGGCCCCTGCGAAGCGATCCCCCCCCCTTCCTCTTCCTCCTTTTCTTCTTCATCGCGCTCGTCGAAGGAGCGATCCTGATCAAAAGGGAGCCGTGCGATGGGGGAAAGATCTAAGGAATCCACCCCAGCCTCGCAAGAGGGGGGGAATTCCCTCGCGTTCGGCCGCCGCACCACGAGAAACCGCCGCTGCTCAACGGTGAGCGACCGCAGCACGCTATCCCCCGCCCCTCGCGTGAACGCAGATTCTTTCACCGTTTCCTCGTTGCGAAGATGATCTCCGTAATCGCATTTTCCTTCCTTTGGTTTGCCTAGTTCGTCCTCGTCCTCCTCGGAGGAGGAGGAGGACGCGCGGTGGATGGGCAGTGGTATCGCGTGCAGAATGCGCGCCGTTTCATTCCCTAGTGCCCGATTGAGTGAACGATCCCACCCAGTGCGAGGCTTCGCGAGCTCGCATAATAATTGCTTCAACTCGGCTTCTTTTTGATCGATTTTTTTAAGAATGTCGTTGTGATAAATCCGTAATTCATTTGTCAGCTTTATAATCCTATCCAATGACTCGGACTTTGCTGCTTGCATGGCGAAGCCTATCTGTCCTATGAGTCTGGATTGGCGCCTCCTAATTCTTTTAACAATACAAACGGAAAGAAATAACGTGTAGGTTACATCAAATCCCACCCCCCTTCGCTCCCTTGCCCCCTATATCAACAACATACCGTATCCCAACAAAGAAAACATAACGAATAACTGCATTCCTCAGACCTTTTCCCCTCCTGGTTGGGGGTTCAAAACACGGACTAATAAACGCATAAATTACATTTTTTCTCGACCTTCTCAATCTGATAAGGTACTAGTACTCTACAGGGTGCTGGAAAAAAACTGATATACAATTATAGTTATTACTTTTGAATGGTGACAGGTCTCACTAAAGGGATACAGGAACAACATGCCTTCCCATTTCTAACTAGATCGCTTTCTTCCTTTTATGATACATTCAGAAAAAAAATAAGGGTAATAATATATATGCAATAAATAGTTATTCTTTAATCGTTATGTGAAATGGGTATGTAAGCAAAGAATAGTTGCGAGCGGTGAGACGGAGAATTAAAAGGAAGGGGATACTGCTATATGTAAAATGGTGCGTTTGCACATGAACCGTTGTAATGAAAAGTGGACAATCTAGATCATTCCGTGAAATTCGACGAACCATTCCTCTCCTGATCCATTCGAAGGAAAAGGGCGTTTTTTCCTCTGTTCTGCAACGCGTTTAATGCGGAATTGTGAAGAAACTTTTCGTACTGAAGGCGCTCATTCTCGCTAAGACGGTAATGCTTCAATTCCACCGGCTTGAGCATCTCACGAGGAGGGGGGAGGTGGTGAGGAAATCGCCTTTCCGCGCCATTGGGGAGCCGTGGGGTCTCCTCCACACTGCTGTTTAATTGATGGGGCTGCGCCGTCATCACGCGCGATGGGGGTCCCCCTCCAAAGGCCGCTGCAATCGGCGCGAGAAACGACGGATTCGCGGGCATTTCTTCCTGTCTTCCCCCCCCTCCCAGACGCGCGGGGAAGGTGCTCGCGCCTTTTCGTGGAAACATCGCCGCGCGATTGCTCGACGCCGCGATGGATTTGGTGGAAGAGTCCTCTCCTGCGGCGGTAAATCGCCCTGGCGAGGCCTCTACCCTCCTCTCCTCTGACACGCCATCCGACCCATCAAATAAACGCGCGAGGGCTTTGCGGTAGGGTAAACTCGTTGAGAGGATGCTGGTGCTGTTGTTGTGATTTGGATTGCCCCCGACATGACGCTTCGGAAGACGCCGCAGCTCCTGCTCCAACGCGTTGCGCTCTTCCTCATCGAGGCCTTTGGTGCCGTAGTCGGTGCCCTCCATCGAGCTAAACCCCACCCCGCCGGTGTTGTAGCCGCTGGAAAAGGCCGGAAAGCTTCCTTCCATCTGCAACAAATAGCGCTGCACCTCTTCTAGGTGGCGGATATCATCCAAGGGGACCCATATTGGAGGGGAATATTGAAGGGTTTCCTCGCACGTATGATCAAAATCCTCTGAACTCGGTTTCTCCCCGAAGCGGGGTCGAAAGGAGACGAGGAGGAAGACATTCCCATCCACGTCGTGCCGTTCGCCAAGGATTTTCACCTCTATCACCTCCCCGGTATGGGTGAAGGAGCACACGAAGGATTGGTTGTACAAAAAGGGGCTCACGATCTTGTATAAAGTGCTCGTGATCTCCGCATGCAGCGCGAGGAGCTCCTCCCAGTAGGTACTGAGAACCAACCCACGCGCGTTCACCTCTTCCAACTCCACCAGAAGCTTGTCCTTCTCAAAATTCACAGGGCGGGAGGGCCGTGGGGGGGTTGGGGGAATCATTTCCACAGGCGACGTGCTGATCACCTCACTCATGGATTTGTTCATCGACTGCGCTAGCCTTTCGTCCTCGAACGAGACGTGAAGATTGCGATCCTTTGATTTCCTGTGCGCAGAGCGAGAAACGGTCTCTTTTTGCGTCTGAGAGTCTTTCGAACCGGGAATGGAGGAGGCAGTATTCTTTATAGTTGGCTTCACGGAATTTTTGACGACTGGCGCTACAGAATCTTTAACATCTGTCTCCACCTTAGTAATTGTGGGTTGTGTTTTGTTTATAGATGCTGCCTTCTCGGATTCGGCAGATGGACTACCTTTTCTTCCCGGATATAGTGCTAGCGCGACGTCATGTAAGCCCCTCGACATAAGAACGTCATAAACGGTTTGGCCTTTGATATTTCTGCAGGTATCTATTGCTCCACGTGAACGCAAAACTTGCAAAACAGCGAAAGGGGATTCACACTGTGCAGAAGCGTAAAGCAGTGGAGTCTCCATCTTGCTGTTTCGAGCCTCTATGTCAAGCCCAAGATCCAGAAGAATCGTTAGAGCCTTTATATTATCTTTTCTCGCAGCGTGGTGAAGGATACTATTACAATTCGAATCAACAACTTTGGTATCATCGCAAATGTCGATCCACCGTTCGAATAAATCTATCTTTTCTAATCCCATCAGATCTTGAGCATGACGGACATCTTCCTCATTGGTTCTCATTTTAATTTATGTGAATAAAGCTTTCCCTAAATCTTAACGGAACTATCAACAAACGTCGAATATCAAAATAAAACATTTGACCACATAAGATATCCTGAGGGGTTTAGCCGAAAGGGAAACAAAATAATAGATAAAGAATAGATACCGTATAACACAAAGTTTTAATGGCTAAAGAGTACCGCCACCGTAGAGCTTATAACACGTACTACGGAAAGCAGAAGCCACATCGGAAATGGCATATCTCTATGCAAGTCTCCATATAGATGCACGTCAACGATGACGACCGGCATCTGTTGATTCACCCCTAACCGAAGTGCGGAAAACAACAGAAAAAGTTCGGACATAGGAGGCCGTGGAGCGCTACAGATCACGTAGACTAGCGCCCGTAATAGAAATATTCTAATAGCACGCCTCAACACCGTGCATGATACTTTCTCCACTTCTGCTTTGAGTGACTGGCAAAGGTGGAATATCAATTGGCTCGCTTAGATATGCATGTACAGTTGACGCTATATATCAAAGTGAAACATTTTTACGAATAAGTGGCTAAAGGTATCCCTTTTCTTTCTCAAGAATTAAAGATACAGAGTTACCTTCTTATGAATTTGCTCCATCCTCACCCTTTGAGTATTGGTTATTGATATCAGGATGCACCAAAGAAGCGAAGCCTTCAGCCTAAAAAAGTGAGAATGCACCCCCCAAAATATTTAATGTCGTTTCGTCATTACACTTTAGATTACCTTTTGTTACTTATCCCCTTTGCCGATCTCGACTGTATCCGACACACTACTTACACAGACGCCTATAATAGGTGCAAGTGCCTGCTGGAAAAACTTTAAAAGAAGTATTTGATCAGCATGTGCTGTTGACAGGTCACCATTCGCAACCAAAAACGGCGGAAATTGTAAAAGTGATCGCTTCAGCCAGATAATTTCTTTAGCGGTTAGACTAGAAACCGAAAAGGTCGCCACTACGGCTTCTCCAGTTTCTGCCTCGCATTGCGAAGCCTCGTTGAGGGTCTGGCAGGAACTCTCAGCCTTCGCTGAGCTCGCATCGCATTTCTCACGCTTTAGGAAATTGACGCGCGATAATATAAATGTTTTGATCTTTTGGGGGTCCTCGGTGTATTCCGGAGTGGTAATTTTACAGTGCTTATCCAGTGAATCGAGAAACTTCTTTGAAGAGCAGCAGTGTAGTGGCTGTGCGATTCGAACTTTGCATCCGACCGATTGAAGTGATGACATTAAGTCTTGGTGAATCCAGTCAATGACTAGGCGATGAAGCTTCAATTTTTTCGGCATCTCTAGTTGATCCGTGGAGAGGATCTCATAGTCGATGAAACCAAACTTGCTGTCCAGAGACTCTTTGTATATACGAAGTTGTCGTGATATAAGCTTCACATGAAGAGCTTCCAATTCCTTCACAAATTCAGATTCTGCTGATGGTATGACGTGCTCTGCTATTAGTGAGACTGCTAAGTCAAAGGGTATGTCATAGAGCACGCAGTGGTAGGAAAAATCTCCCATTACATCTTCTGAATTCAAGGCTCCGCTTGCCGACATGAGACTAGCGAAGAAAATCAATGCCTATGAGTTAAAGAGGAATGGGAAAATATGTTTACTCTATAACAAGAAAGAGCAAGGAAGGATGAAGTGAAATTGGTTTTACAGAATGATTTTCAGGAACAATACATATATGTATATATTTATTTATTTATTTATATATATACCAGAAAGGTATCACACCCAAACCTTTTTCCTTGGCTCTTCTAAATTCTATCGCTTTTCATATCCATTTTCGCATGCAATGCTGAATCTAAGAAAAACAAGAAGAGTTCGTCACCATAGGCAGACTAAGTGCTCTTGCGGGAGGCGCTCCACGCATTCACTAAACTCATTCCCTCTTCTAGAGACATGATATCCAACCCGTCGCGCTGCATCTGCTCGCTTAACTTGAGGATAAAGGCCGAGATACCCCCGACGACACGCTCCACCTCCTGCGGAGGATGCTGACTGACCTCTTTAAGCAAAAGGCGATATAGACGAGATGAGCCTCTGATATTTTGCTGATGCATTTCTTCATGAAGTTCCCAAAAAGCTTGCCAGTCCTGCATGTAACCTGCATGTTGAATCAGGAGCTCGTAGGTTTTAACGTTTGGCGATACACGCCATTGCGGGGGAAGGATCGAGCCGCCATCCTGCACGAGTGTGGGCACTTGTGATGTTTGGACGGCGAGTGTTCCTTCCGCGTTATTTTGCACAGCCTCGCTTTCGTGAAGCGTGTTTCCACGGTACTCTGCCAGTAAGGTGTTAAACTCATTCACACGACTCTTATCACGTAAAAGGTAGAGCATCTCATTATACACATCAGCAGTGCGTTGGGCAGCTGGGCAAGCCTCGAACCATATTTTGGCCTGGGCAATCCTTTGATTTTTGTAGTCTTCGTATTTTGCCTTTCCGTCACCCATGTCTTTGGGGACCTCTAGATTTGGAGAATAATTATTCAAGCGGTAATCTGGATTATGCAAGGATGCAATGAGGCTTGCATAAGTCTCAGCACACTTCGAAATTCCTATCTTTTCCATGACGTCTAAAGTTCGTTGCGTCTCATCTAAGGACCGCGCCACGCGAAGCAGGCTATTGAAATCCCCAACTTTCAACGAGTCACGGTTGTTGGTAGCCCTATCCTTATCGTCCTTGTAAAGATCATCGAGTAGATTGTCGCCTCCAACCTCCCCTTTGGCTAGCTCATTGGCCGAGAATGCGTGGGGAAGTGATGATGACCCATGCACGGACTCCGCGACACGCGCCAGCTGCGCAGCCCGCTGATTATTGCTTTGAAGAGAAAAACCCTTCTTCTTCGCGATGGTTTCTAGATCGATCACGAGTCGCCGCCGCAGAGCTTTTTCCTCTTCAAGTCTCGCAACCACTAGGTTCTCATCAGAATGCGGCTTTGTTTCTGCATCTCGTTCACTGCTGCGCCGAATCAAAGCGATAAGAGAATTAATATTTCGCTCGTCCATATGAAAATCAACAAAGCCAATCGCTTTCATGACCGTCCACACACGTTGAACGTCTTCAAAACGCCTTTGTGCAAAAAGTGAACTTAACAACAGGTAGTAATGCCTTCCATTCCATCGAAGGATCCCGCCGAAGGTTCGAAAGCCCTCCCTCCGCACCGCGGCGGCGGATGGGTGCGCAGACTGGATTGGCGGAATCAGTGCATTCATCTTCCTAAGCATCTCGAAGCACCGCGCCTCCTTGTCGTCGATCTGCCCCCACGTGTCTGGTGGGGGCGCACCTGTCTTTCCCTCCGCAGGTCTGGCGGCGTCCCCCTGAGGGGTCACAAGGCACTGACGG